CTGAGAGCGCAGCCGCTTCCTCCCAACGCTGCCTGCACGCCAAACTGCGGCCAAAACCTGCCCAGGACACCAGCTGCACCCAGCAAGGGGCTCTGCTCGTGGCAGGTCCCCGGAGCAGTGCTCCCTGCGCGGCTCACAGGGTGCTCTCCAACGTGTTGTAGTTGTCCTTGAAGCTCTTCAGCTCCAGGAAGTGTTTGGCACGTTTGCTCTTCTGGTTGGAAGGCAGGTAGGTGACCTGGATGGTGGCGGGGTTGGAGACTTCGGGGGAGAGGGTGAGGTCCTTCGCTGCTGACTGGTGCTGCCGCTGGCTGCTGCCTCCCCGGGCCTTGGTCCTGCAGGGAGAGGAGAGGCACCATCACAGCTGCCGCCCTCCCCAGAGGAGCCACTCGACTATCACGTCCGTCTGTCCGACACGAAGCGGATCTGCCCTCAGGACGACGGCGCTCACTGCAGTTTTGAAAACCAAGGCTGGGGCTTCTGCGGGTGACAGGCCTGGAGCCTGCGTGAGGTTCCTGGCTCTAGCAGGAACGTGGACCGTGACCAAGTAACAAACCCAAAAACGCATTAACAGACGGCAGTAAGTGAAACTGGAAGGACGGACAGGTGTAAAAAGCCCATGTCTCAGAGGCTGCGTTTTGCCCCAAAACCTGTCTCTGTTCACACCTCCACGATGGGCTGCTGGGGCCCAAGAAGCCACCACCGCACCCCAGCTAGACACCCAGGCAGTAACACTTACACGTTTGCCAGCTCATTCAGAGCATCCTGGTACTGCAGATATTCCGGTTTCCCAAAGACCTGGATGCAAACAGAAAAGACCATGGAAAACCCAGCCGAGGTTACAGTGTGACTTTGGTCCAGCCATCAGACTGGAGCGCAGGAACAGCCCCCCTGCGCTGCTGCGGGGGCCGGGCGATGCAGCGCCGGCGCTTACCCCAGTGCCATAGCGGGCACTCTCGTACCCATCCAGCAAGGTGTCGATCAAGGCTTTGCGGATGCCTTTGAAGGAGGTGCTGGAATTCCGCAGTTCCAGCAGGTAGGCACAGAAGTTCTTCCCTATTAAAGACTTTGGGTACCGGCCCTCTGCGTGAAATGGGATTTCTGGAAAATAAAAAGGCACAACACAACCGCCTGAAGTTCAGGTCAAAATGCTTGTGTTCACCTGCAGACAACGTCAGAAGTTGGCGGCTAATTAAACCTCCCACTACATCTGCTGCTTCCGTTTGGTGACTGCTTCCAACGCGTGAGCAGAGCGGACCCTCAGGCCGCCAGCCCTGGGTGGGATAAGTGACTGCTATTTCCAAACGAGGACCTTGAGCCTTATCACAAGGCTGTTGGCCGATGCGCCGCACCCTTATATGGTCTCTCTCCACCCTTCCCCTCCCACTCCTGCCCTGAGCTCCCTTACCAGATGTTCTGATCGCATCCAGCGCCTTCATCCTGTACAGGTAGTTATAGCAGCCTGGCAAAGAGAAAACCCAAACTGAAAGCTCTGCAAAACTTGGCAGCGGGAGGGAGGTGGGGAAAGCAGATAGGAGCAGAGTGCAGAGACATCATCCCGTGTCAGCTCGCCAAATGCGACGTTGCGACGGGGCAGCCAACAAGAGAGGCCAGCGACGCAACTCGGCTGCAAGGGACCAACCTGCTGTAGCACTGGATGGTGTCTCTGGTGGCCTCTGACTGACACGCAGTTAGAGAGGGTACCTTGTGTCTCCAGCTGCAGAAGCCTGCTGTCGTCCTCAGCTAGCAGCTGGGGCTCATACTTGATGTCTTGCACCCGCGACAGTCGAATGTCGATTTCTTCCTTTAAATCCTGCACAGCGGGAAAAAAAAGAAAAAAAACATTTACAGAGCACTCGCTTTGTTTGTGGGATCACAAGGATGATAACAGTCATGTCCTGCAGGCACTCTGAAATAAACCCACTCCCTCTCTAGCTGCCCATCACCACACCGAGGTGGCAGCTCCTGGAAACATCCGAGTTTGAAGCAGACACTGTCTGCCCTTCTGGGCATGGACGGGTCCGTGGGTGCAGGGGAGGGAAGGCACGTCCCCACCGCGGGGCCGCGCTCACCCACCTTGGGCGCGTGCTGTCCGACAGGCACATGGGGGCCACGGCGGGACTTCATGGCGAAGCGCATGATCTGGCGTTTCACAAAGATGAACAGCAGCACGAAGACCTGGAGCACCACAGCGGGGACGGGGCTCAGGCACACCGAGCGGCACCCTGGAGGGTCTCACGGCCAGCGTGGGCCCAGCCCCACTGACACCCTGTTCCCAACCCCGAGGACACCCCAGGCCAAGCAACCACAGGGCCCCACTGGCCACCCAAACCCGGCAAGCACAGGGGTTCCTGTTCAGCCCATCAGAAGCCCCACGGACACCTGCGCCAGCCCCCCCCCAGCCTCCACTGAGGCGCCCACTCACATCCTCTCCCTGCCCCACAGATGCCAGGACCCCACGGGCACTCCAGCCCAGCCCTGTGAGGGCCCCGAGTCTGGCTCTACGGGAGTTCCCCACGGATACCCTGGGACGCGCCTCACTGGAGCTTTATGGACATCTCGGGCCCGGCTTCACAAGGGCCCCTTGGACCTCCCAGGCCCAGTCCCATGGATCCCCCAGGCCCAGCTGCATGCGAGCCCCACAGACACCCCAGGATCGGCCTCACAGGAGCTCCATGGACACCCCAGGATCGGCCTCCTGGACGCCCCACAGACATCCCAGGATCGGCCTCAGAGGGGCCCCACG